TATAATTTTTCTAATAATGCATAATTCTAATATACCCATGAGCCCTAGTTTAATCAGTCCAATTAAGAAAAAAGGTTAAATTAAATTAGATTAAAATATAATCTTGACCTTAATCCCAGTGGTTATTCACATGATGACATCATATTGCAGAAGACCTAACAGGAGGCAGGTGTAGCCCTAAAAAGACGAAAAACGGTTTGGTTGTCAATGATTGTCTTTGACTACATCATCCTTGATGCTGCATTATCTATTTATTTAGACTTTTTTTGTCCTATGAAGAGTTTCATAGAGAATAAAATAAAGTCCTTGGAGCCTTAAAAAAAACAAATAATCAGAAGCTGTTGAATAAATCCAAGTTCATTCACTCATAATACTTTATGGGATTCAAAATAAGTAAGATTTTAAAGATGAATAAAAGGATGTCTACCTCCTTGAAAACAAAACAAATGTATTCTGAACCAATTTATCCAGGACCCTCAATACTCTAATACTACAGTAGAATAAAAACAACACATTTGGAATCTGACTGCAGTAGATATTCCTAGTAATCCAGGTAATTATCATACTTTAACTGGTTAGGAATAGAAAGCTACTGACCATGACAGGGCTAACTTGGTAGTACCAACTCTTGCCGCCAATCCATCATAAAGAAATGTAACATACAATCAAAGCATCACTGGCCTCACCAAGCTTAAAGCAATTTTTCAGATTTGGCTTCCTTGACAACAGGCTCAAAAGTCAAGAGGGGAGGAATAGTAAGATACGCATCTCGGCCTTATCTCCCCAGCAAGATAGCAAGTCCGACAATAAAACGTGGAGAGTACACTGTCCATCTGTGTGCTGATGATAATAAATTCTATCAGGATTTAGATTAGAGAATGGAAAAAAAAATAAGAGACCGGAATCACCAAAGTAAATATATAAACTAAGCCTTTTTGGTTTCTCTGTGCAGCTCTGGCTGTCCTGGAACTCACTCTGTAGACCAGGCTGGCCTCAAACTCAGAGATCCACCTGCCTCTGCCTCCCAAGTGCTGGAATTAAAGGCATGTGCCACCACTACCACCCAGCCTTAAACTAAGCTTTCTTGAACCCATATCCATGTAAAGGGATCTCAATCTCTAATTTCTCGTTTGCCACAAATATAACCTCACAAGTCACTCCTCTGTTTCATTAGATTTATGAAGTGAGGGCGTTAGACTTGAAAGGAAGTGTATGTCAGTCTCCAGCCTGAAATGAACCTTAGACATAAGAGGAATGAATGGTGTAGTTACAGCTGAAATTCAGCCACAAAATCTGTTTAATAGTAGGTATGGATGGGACATTTGGGGACAGCGCTGGAGTTGGCTTAATTATAATAGAGTTTTGTGCATGGATCCAGCAAAGACAGACTCGGACCAGGAGAAACAGAGAAGGGTTTAAGCCTAGCATTCTCATACAGCCCTATAATCCCATGCAGGCAGATCACTGGAAGTTCAAGACCAGCTTGGACTGACTGCATTGGGTAGCTTGAGGCCAGCCTGGGTTACATACTGCCCACCCCCAGCCCCCACCGCACCCAGGAAGGAGGACTATGATGTATCAAGCAAAGTAGTCTTAGGTAAATTGCAACAATATTACTGCTAAGAAACTGTAGCGTGGAGAAGGGGGCCCACAAATTGTAACAGTGTAGTGCCTGCTTATGATTTTGTAACTTAGCACAGATGCTGACCACCAGGAACTGCCAACACTCAGGCTGTCACAATCGGAGATGAAGCAGTTTGATTTAGCAAAGGAACTGCACAGCCCACAGTGAAAGGCAGTTCCCCTCCAAAGAGCGTCTTTGGAAATAGCAGCCACCTTCTCTAGTCACACAGGAAGAAGGTGTGCAACAAACAGTTTATATTCGCTGTAGGTGCTCTCGAGTTGGGCAACAATAGCAGGCACTTTACACAAGGAGAAAAACCACACTACATGGTGCAAATTTATTCACTCCCATTTATTCCATTCAAAGATGTTCTAAAGTCAGATTGCATGGGTACACATTTGTAGCCTCAGCTAGGTAGGAAACTGAAGTAGGAGGATCTCTTAAGGCTAGGAGTTAAAGGAATACCTGGGAAACAAAGTAAGACTTGATTTCAAACACTGTGTCTTTGGGAGGAGGGTGAAATATGTTTGAATGGGGGAGTGATGAACAGTTATGTTTATAACTGTGCAATCATAGTTACCATTTTATTAAAGTACTATTTGTTTTAGACTCTTTTTTTTTTTTTTTTTTGGTTTTTCGAGACAGGGTTTCTCTGTGTAGCTTTGCGCCTTTCCTGGAACTCACAGAGATCTGCCTGGCTCTGCCTCCCGAGTGCTGGGATTAAAGGCGTGCGCCGCCACCGCCCGGCTTAGACTCATTTTAAAACGAAGACTCTTGGCCTGGCTGAGCACGGTGGCGCACGCCTATAATCCCAGTATCAGGGAGAGAAGGAGCAGTAAAAGGAGAGGTCTTTTGGTCTCAGCTACATAGTGAGACCCTGTTTCAAACAAACGAACAAAAAAGACGACCCACACTGGGAGAAAAAAAAAGTTATTCTTAGCCATGACCCTTGGCTCTAATTTTCTGTACCTACTACTGCTGAATAAAAGTGACACAAGTTGGGCTTGTGATCGGGTTCGATGCAGACTGCCATCTGCTGCATACACGGGTTGTCTCCACTCAACCCCAGTGTGTCACCGGGTAGGATCATTGTAAGGACAGCTATTGTTTGGGGCAAGTCGTTTGTTCCACATTCATCTACTCTATGTGCCTCAAAATCACATCCACTTAAAGAGTCCTACCCCTGTGGCTGTGAAATACAAAGAATTTCCTGGCAGACCATTAATTAATTTTATAAGCGAAAGGAGAGATATGTAAAGGCAACTGCGGTCTATTATACAATACAAAGAACACCCAAAAAAAGGAGTCATAATCCCTGGGCAGGAGGAGTCTCACCAGTGTGTACTCTTGGCCAAGTCTCTCTCCTTTCTGGGCCTCAAATTTCAGGCTTGAGAAAATCAAGAGTTAAATCCCTAAGAGACATCTTTCAAATAGAACGTCATGTGAGGAATCATAGAAAATCAGATGGGGATACATACACAATGGCTTTCGAGCAATTGGACAAACCTTCAAAATCTGCTTCTCCATATTTAAATCATCAGGTTCCTCTCTTTTCAAGTCTTAGGAGCCTAAGTTCATTTACAAGTCACCATTCCCATGACAACACTTCTGCCCTTCAAAAATAACACTTCATCTTTAATTGTGCTTTCAGTTACAAATTCAGCACACCACTTTTACCCACCCCAGAATAGCACAGAAGAACGTTGTCATGAAGTAGCCCTCCACGGAAGACACTGGCAGACTGCTGCATTTGCATGGCAGAAAATACATGAGGCACAAACTGTCAAACACCACAGGAATACCACACCCAAATAGTATTAAAAACAAACTGCAAAATCAGAGGATGCCTCATTCCAAAACAAAGATAACTCCGGAAGTCTTCTAATAGTTCAGAGGGGAAAGAATGCCATCAGATTTTGGGGTGGCCTTTATGTCTTTCAGATAACATAACTAGAGGCTATGAAACATGCAAATCAGAACCGAACTGTAGAAAAACCCGGCTCTCACCCAAAAATTTCAGCAAAGCAATGTCAGTAAGCCAAATATGAAAAAGTACAATTTTCTCACAAGAAGCATGGTCAGGTCCGTAACTATGGCTAATAATAGCAATACTATCTTGCATTAGCAGAGCCTGGGTTCTTTTCCATAGCGCTTTCCCACAATCTTACGCTATCCTAGGTCTAGGGGTATCCTCTCCCCAAACCTCCAGCCCTTTCCTCTTCAGAGAGAGGGAATCAGAACAAGACAGGTCGTGATGCATGGGTTGAAGGCACCACTTTCTCTATTGGGCCGCCTGCAATGAGTCTCCCATCACCACACTATACAAGTTCACCCTAGGAAATTAAACCTACACTTGCTCTCTCAGAGTTGGCCAGAGACCAACACATATGGGCCTCGAAAGTCCAAAGGAAGAGAACCTGCTGACTTGTTAGGTGAAAAACTCCATGCCAAGCTCCCGTGGCCCCCACCACTACACACACACACACACACACACACACACACACACACACACACACACACACACACACACACCGAGGCAATTCCTTTCCTCCTTTGCCAGGCAATGAAACCCCGGCAAGAACTGGTTAACAGAACCACCAAATCTCTGCCACTGTGTACAACTTGCCATGCTGCCTGCCTCTCTTGTGCCTGCTGCCCTGCCTTTGGGCACGAGTGTGGCGTGAAAGCCAACCCTCCGAAGGGATCACCAGGACCTTTTAAGGACCCCGAGGGGATCGCGCTTGTCTTCCTGAAGCAATGCAGCATCCACCTCGAGGAAACTGATTCCCGGAACACACACACATATGCAGGGACTCCGAGAGGGATAAAGTTTGATTTCCCTTCCTGCGCGTTCCTAGGGGGCCGAGAGAGGGCGAGGCAGCAGCCTCCTGGGGTCCTGGGGCGCTCTCCGGGGACAGTTCCTAGCAGCATGGCACTGCCACTCTCCTGACACACGGGCAGCCGCGGCAACTCAGGACGCCCCAACCCGCCCAGTGGAGGGGAGAAGGGGACAACTCGCACCCGGCTCAGTTCGGGAGCACTGGAGCAAAGCTGTCAGGAACGACGGAGGGAGGGACCGAGCCCAGAGGCGGGTCAGGGAGAGGTTCAAGTCCCGTGCCTTCCCCGCCCTGGCGTCCCCAGTCCTGCGGGAACATCCCTGCTGTCGCCCCTCCTCCTCCTCCTCCTCCTCCTCTTCTGCCTCCCGCCCGCTCGCCCGCCCTGCCTTCCCAGGCGCCGCCGCAGGCGCTGAAGGACACGGCGGCTCCGGTGGCCCGCCACCCCGGGGCGACCGCGAGTTGAGGGAAGTCGCCGGGCGCCCCGGCCTGCCCGCGGCTCCCCACGCCGCCCCGCCCTCCCCGGAGCCGCGCTCGCTCACCGTCCGGTGCTGCTGGTGCTGCCGGTGGCGGCTGACGGCCAGCCCGGGAAAGCAGCCGGCAGTCAGCGCCCCGCAGCCGCCGGCGCCCCCGCCGCCGCCCCGGGAGCAGAGCAGCAGCAGGAGCGATCTACCTGCGGCGGCCGCCATCTCTCAACTGGAAACGGCGCTGGCCCAGGCAGCGCAGCGGACGGCCGGGGCGTGGCCAAGACCCGCCACTCAGCCGCGGCCGGCCAACCGCAGCCCTGAGTGAAGTCTCTGAGGCGGGGCTTTGTTCGAAGCCCAATCAAAAAGCGGGAGAACCCCGGCTTCGGGCTGTCTGTCACTTGCAGAGTTACCTTACGGGCAAATTCTAGGGAACTGGTCTTTGGCACTCTCTTGGAATGGAGCAGTAGGAGATGGCAAGTTCGATCTGGCTAATCTTTACCAAGCATAGTGACATTGGGGACTAGGGGAATAGATATCTGGGCAAAGCTTGTTCGGAGTTGAGTTCTGAGTGTTCTAAGTTGTCCACAGAAGCACCCAATTGGTCATATTAAGTAGGTTGCTACAACTCTCGACCACATGCCTAAAGTTAGCAGCCGTAACGGATAGTATCTGGATATGACGAAACTAACCCTGAATCATAAAGAAACCCAACGACAGTGCTATGTAACATAATGTAAGATATAATGATTGTAGCATCGAAGTTCCAGGATGAGCGCCTGCCACTGGGTAGAGTGAACTCTACCCACATTCGAAACATGCAGTTCTTTTTCACAGCCCCTTTGTAACATTGGTATTCCTCTCTAAAAGCAACGCTGTTCATTACCATACTTGACCTTGGGTTCCTTTATTAAATAACTAAAAAAACAGAAAAAGTCGACAAGTAATAAAACCATATAGAGATGAACCAAGTTTCATAGTTTTGCTATGAAAACAGCAATTAGAATGCATTTCAGAATAACTTTTGGAGGTGGGGGGGTATCTCATTGTGTTGCCCAGGCTGGCCTGCAATACACTACATAGCCCAGGATGACCTCAAACTCACCTCGGACCTCACCATCCCCAGTGCTGGGATTGTAGGCAGGTACCATCAATCACATCCAGCATGGAATAACTCTTATTTTGTTGTTTCTTGTTCTGAGTTTTGTTTGAGATGAATTCTCGCTATGTAACTGGGGCTTGGGCTTCAGTTCCCAACCATCCTGCTTCAGCCTCCCGAGTGCTATGATACAGGCACGAACCATCATGCCTGCCTTGGGCTGACGCTCATTCACTTTGTCTTGCCGCAAAGACGGGGTTCTCAACCTGTGGGTCGTGACCCCTTTACAGGGTCAAACGTCTCTTTCACAGGGGTTGCCTAAGACCATCAGAAAACACAGATATTTACGTAATGATTCATAACAGTAACAAAATTACAGTTATGAAATAGCAATGGAAATGATTTTATGGTTGGGGGGGGTCCCCACAACATGAGGAACCGTACAAAACGGTTACAGCATTAGGAAGGTTGAGGACCACTGCACAAGGAACAAGTCCACAGCGAGGGGTCCTAGATTTTCTTAGAAGACTTCCTAGCTGTTTGTTATTATGAGCCGCTCAATTCTTTCAGCTCCTTATAAAATCTTGGGGGTGGGGAAACGATCAATTTTTTTTTAAATTCTAGTAAGTATTCTTGTAGTTTATACAGCCTTACATGAAGTTTTAAAAAGTTGTATTACTTGTTCTACTAATATTTTTTTCAAGTCTGACTAAAATTGCTTTCTTGGCCAAACAACGAAGTGAAGACTTTGGGTTAATTCTTATGCCCAGAACAGTAGGCTGATGGATTTCTCCAGGTGAGATGGCCACACGGCTCACTTGCCCGGAAGAGCTCCATTTCCCAACGCTTGGAGCCTGGGAGCTGGGGAATGCGCTCCAGCTCAACAGCTGCATGGAATAGCCCCCCCCCCACACCCCCCATTTGGAATTCAAGACGCGGCTGGAACGTCTTCACTCACAATTGTCTTCTGCCCGTCTATATTTATCCCAACAGCATGTCATGTATTTATCCACACTGTACATTTCCCTTTCTCTCTCACTCCTCTGGGCCTTTTTACTCCATTCGCCATGGATTTTAGTTGTTTTTTTTTTTTCTTTTTGTTTTTCCTTTGCCAAACCTGGGGGTGGGTCAAGAGTGTTCCGTCTCCATCTCCATGTTACACTTTGGGAAATCTTACTGGAATTGCCTTTCCGCTGTTTTTCCAAGTCTGGAAGTTAAATATCTATCCTGCCGTACTTAGATTTAGTTCTGTGCATTTAAAAATGAACCAGATTAAGCCAGGCATGGTACCATACACCTGTAACCACATAACTGGGGAAGCTGAGGCAGGAAGATTGCTGTGAGTATGAGGCCAACCTGGGTTACAAAGCTAGATGTTTTGGGAAAGGACAAAAACAAATAAAATAAAATGGAAAAAAGTCACACTCTTTTTGTTTGTTTGTTTTTTGAGACTGGGTTTCTTTTGTGTGATACCTTCGGCTGTCCTGGAACTCACTTTGTAGACCAGGCTGGCCCCAAACTCACAGAGATTCACTTGCCTCTGCCTCCCAAGTGCTGGGATTAAAAGCATACGCCACCACACTCGGCCACACTCTTTTTAATGTACATATCTTAAGCTAGAGACATTGCTAAGAGTTCCAAATCTATTTTCCAAAATGTATCATCTTATATCCTTGAAAATTAAATCGTTGCTGCCCTAAGTTAGGCTACATAATTAGAGGAACTACCAACTAAACCAGGTTCATATAATATAGGTCTAGCAACTGCTCTAAACAATTCTCCATTATCTTCTTCCAGGAAAAAAGCAAAATAAACCTTCCCACAGCGGCAAAGGACTATGTGAGCTGGTTGGTCAGGCTGACTAAGAAGTGCAGTAGCTCATCAGAAAGGAATCCTCATACTGAAGAACCCAGGAGCTCACTGATCATTCTAGAGGTGATAAATTTATAAAGAAGGACACACACACTTTGTAAGATGTCAAAGATAACCTCAGTATTTTCCAATGAAGAACCAGTCAAGTATATTAGACATTAATCTCTTAACAAAATATTAATCAACCACTTATAAAAGTAACTATCCATGAGTCAAGCACAGTGGCACACACCTGTTTCCCAACACTTGAGAGGCTGAGGCAGAAGGATCACAAGTTCAGGACCAGACTGGGCTACCGAGTAAAAAACTATCTCAAAAAAAAAAAAAAAAAAAAAAAAGTTGCCTTTTCCCATAATGCAACACTGGGAAAGCTCAGGCAGGAAGATTGCCAAGTTCAAAGCCAACCTGGGCCACATAGACAAGACCCTATTTTACCTATTTCAAATACAAAAAATAAACAACGAACGAAAAGAATTGTCCTACATATATGTTCACACCTTACCTTAGTCAAAAGACCAAGAAAGGATGTGCTTATTCCTTATTAAAAGTGAGCTGGGCATAGTGATCCATACCTATAATCTCAGCGCTTGTGAAGTAGAGGCGGCAAGATCTGGAGTTTGAGGCCAGCCTGGGCTACATGTGTCCCTGTCTCAAAAAGAAAGAAAGAAAGAAAGAGAGAGAAAAAGAAAGAGAGAGAGAGAGAAAAAAAGAAAGAGAGAGAGAGAGGGAGAGAGAGAGAGAGAAAGAAAGAAAGAAAGAAAGAAAGAAAGAAAGAAAGAAAGAAAGAAAGAAGGAAAGAAAGAAGGAAAGAAAAAATAGCACTTCTCAGCCTTTTGGCTTGGCTGAAATCATATATAAATATAAAACTATAGATACTACAGTATACATGATCATTTTAAGAATTCTATCTGTAATACAGGAGCCAGTGAAATGGCTGGGCAGGCAAAGATGCTTGTGATACAAGCCTGACAACCTGAGCTTGGTCTGGAACCCACAAAAGGTAGAGAGAGAACTAACTCTCAAAAGTTGTCATATGACCTCCATTTATGCTCTGTGGCATGCACACATGCACACACAAATAATAATAACAATAAATATGCAAAACATTTTTTAAACTACATATACAGGGCTGAGCATGGTGGCACATGCCTTTAATCCCAGCACTTGAGGCAGAGGCAAGAGGAGCTCTGTGAGTTCAAGGCCAGCCTGGTTCTACCTGGAACCTGTCCTGATTCCACACTGACCAGGATGACATAGTAAGACCCTATCTTAAAAAATATATACATATAAGCCAGGCAGTAGTGGCACATGCCTTTAAGCCCAGCACTTGAGGCAGAGACAGGTGGATCTCTGTGAGTTTGAGGCCAGCCTGGTCTATAGAGTGAGTTCCAGGACAAGCTCCAAAATCCTGCCTCAAAACAACAACAACAACAAAAGAATATATATATATTTATATTATATAAATACTATATTTATATATTATATTATTTATATTATATCTTATGCAATATATTGAATTATATATAATTAATTATATATAAAATTATATGTTATATAATTCAGGTGGTGATTCTAAAGGAATAAACATGAAAACACATTGCTTCAGGGAAGTTTTGAGGGACACCTGCTCTTTTGAGTAGTTTAGATTGTTCCCACCTGCATATTAATTTTACAATTTAAAAACATGGGTCATTAAAACATACATGGTTGCACAACTGTTTCAATGCCAACCTTTAAAAACAGGTTGCTTTTTTTTTTTTTTTTTTTTAAAGCTAAAACTAATCAGAGCATATTTCCTGGTGCAGGAAACTTTAACCAGTTTCCCTACTAAAATTCACACTGCAGTCAGCTCCGAGCCATGACTCAACCCAATGGAATATTTACCTAAGGGTTCCAGAACAGGTAGGGTGGACAGGTGAAGCACACACACACACACACACACACTGATGCGAGCCAGCAGGCACGAAAGGAATCTCCTCGGAGCTTTGGGGGCTGTGTTTCCTGATTCCCTGATGATGTAAATTATTATCTGAGTGGTTTCAGCAGTTCTGAGTGAACAGGAAAGAGAAAGTTTAAAAGAAGGACAAAAGGAAAGGGTGTAGCCTTCAGATAGTTACAGGGAGCCACGGCCCAGGCCCTGTTTGCTCTTTATTTTTGCTTCACTCTCTGTTCCTGTGAGCTCCCCCTCTCCATGCTCTTTGCTGTTGGTTCTTCTTTCTCTGGCAGCTCATCTGCATAGTAAACATTTCTACTCCGGGTAGCTGAGAAAGACTCAACGACTCTTAAAGAGTCTCCTCCGTACATCTCTATATAAGTATTATATATCGTAATGTGTTCTATCTTTTCCTCTGTGTATCCATTTTCACTTCATTTACACACACACACACACACACACACACACACACACACACACACACACACACACTCATGTTCTCTTTGTTGTTTTTTTTTTTTTCTCTATTTCCTCCAATACTCCCACTTGCCCCAACTCTAACACAGACCCTCTCCAGGTCAGAAATAGATTTACACATCCCTCTAAAAAACATCTGTTAGCGGGAGGTGCATGTCCTGATTTCCAAAGGACGACTGACTCCATATTTTATAATTCAGTGACCCTGTGGTCTATTATTTTCTGTCGGGAACATGCATTCTGTGATCTTTTCTTTCGTGTGCAGAACCCCAAGAAAACACTGAGTTGAGAAGGGCAGGACTTGGTCGGGTAGGATTGTCTTTGTTCGTGTTTCTCATGATCCGAGAGACCAGCAGCAAACTTTTAAGCTATCTTTCTGTGTTGGGTTGACTTGTGGCCTCCTGCAGTCTTTGATATTTACTAGACTTTTGGATCTAGGAAGTCTTTTGTCTCTCTCTGGAGTGATCCAAGTTCTTAATTTTGTACTCAAATATAGCACACCTCCTAAGTACACAGGAATTTGGCTCACATGTTTATGAAACCCAGCACCATCCAGAGTAATAAAAAAGACCGGACTGACCTATAACAGAATTCCTAACGGTGAAGTGGCTCCCTTACTTAGCAGTCCCTTCTCCAGAGATCTCTTCCCCATACCCTGAACTCGCCTCAAAACAGCTGTCTCCACCTTTTTTTCTTCTTCTGTCCCTGTAGCCACCTGTGTTGTTGGGGGTTGAATGTAAGTACAGCCTTTTCTATGTCTAGGTAGAACTTAAGTCTCCTTTTTGCAAGCTCCCATAATTTACTGCTCACTGTCCATCCTGGTTGCTGGTACTGCATCTGAGCTGGTCTGATAGTGTGATAACATTCTGCCATCATCATTAGGCCTTTTGGTTTGCTTGACACAGGGTCTAATGTAGCCCAGGATAACCCACACTTGCTAGCATTGTTGATAGGAATCACTACACCCAGCTCTCACTAGACCTGTTTGATCAGGATAACTTGGCCGACTGGGCCACAGTACCCTCACAATTCTAAGTGTATTCTGTAACAGAATTACTTACCTCACTGTTTTTTCCTACAGTGGTGTATTCTATAACAGAATTACTTACGTCACTGTTTTTGTCCTACAGTGGTGTATTCTATAACAGAATTACTGATGTCACTGTTTTTGTCCAACAGTGGTGTATTCTGTAACAGAATTACTTACGTCACTGCCTTTGTGCTACAGTGCTCTCCCAGGTTAGGAGCTGCCAATCTGGCAAGTTAACTGAAGCTAATTCTAGACAATGTCAGTTGTTCCTTCAACTGTCTGTTCTTTACATTTTAATTTATAGACACCTCCGATGGTAATATCTGAAAGAACTGCACGAAGCAGAGCAGTCTAGAAGAACCTTCTTGGGCTGGTTCCTAGCCACATGAATCTGCCTACCTCAAGGTGAGATACATCTTTAATATTATGCTGAGTTTGGCCCAAATTTCAGCTCCTCTGAATCTAAACTAAGTTACTGTCAAACTACTATATTTCCCCTCACTTTTGATAGAACATATACCGTCATTATCTGATCTGATTTCCAAGGTGAACCAGGAAGGCTCTGGGCCACAGGCTGCAGCCGGTGGGAAGCAGGAGGTGGAGGAAGTTGTGGGCGGGAGCTCAGGCATTGCTGAACAACAGGTGCACAGGCAGCTCTTTAAATTTAGCCACTGTCCTTGGTGTCCTGTCTCCCAGCCGTCACTTACAGCAACCACTGCTGATTTGGAAAGGATAAGAGAAGGGATCATATTTATTAAAAGACAAAAGAGGAGAATTAATTTTTTTTTTTTAAAAAAAACCTAGCCTGAGGAACAAAAATACTGACCATTAGAAACTATACACAGTTAAAAGGAATTAAAGAGGAAGGAAATTATTTAAAGAGATACTAATCATTAGCAAATCATTCTTAATTAAGTACTTTAAGAGGCATTCTTCGCTGCCTCCTAAAATTTGGAAGGAGGCTCAGAAAGGAATTACTAGTACTTCAGAGTTTGGAGACGAGAGGAGGGGAAATGACTTGGGTAGGTGCAATGCCTCCATCATCCCGCCAGCCAGGCTGTCAACTGAATGCTCACGTGATAGGAGAGATAGGCGTGTACACAAATTTTTCGTTCCTTATACCACGTATTTATTTTCTTGAGATATTCATTGAACTCTCGTAAGCTTTACTTTGAAATTGAACCAGTTTTCCCACCTAGCATTTATCCATCATTGAAAAGAATGAAAAAAAAAATCTCACTCTTTTCCTCCTTGGCAGCTTGGGGACCCCTGTGATCATGAATGACCAGGAAGTTCATGACTGGTCATCTGCTTCAGAGGAAACAAGAGGTCATTGATGTCCTTCACCCTGGGACAGAAATTTGGGAAACGCTAGCCAAAATGTATCAAACCACACCAGATGTCTTCTTTGCATTCAGACTCAGGAGCCTCTTTGGTCGTGGCAAGATGACTGCCTTCAGCATTAGCTGTGATTCTTTGGATTATGCAAAGGACGATGAGCCTCAACACAGGCTTGCAAGACATGGCCTTTAGTGAGTGAAAACGAGGCTGTGCCTGCTCCGAGGCCTGGTTGGGGAGAAGGGTTTTTCTTGTAGATATGAGGGGGAGTTCGGCCACAGGCACCTGGAAGGGTCCATACTGAACCAGACCATGGGAGGAGAGAGAGAGGAGAGGGAGGAGAGAGGGAGAGAGGGAGAGAGAAAGACAGAGACAGAGAGAGAAAGAGAAGAGAGGGACAAGAGGAGACAGAGCAAGAGAAGGGACCAGAAGCCAAGAGCGGCAGACCGAGAGAGAGAGAGAGAGAGAGAGAGAGAGAGAGAGAGAGAGAGAGAGAGAGAGAGAGAGAGAGAATGAGAACAAAGAGGCCAAGAGAGCACATGGCAGAAAAGGTTGGATTATATAGGAATCCCAAGCTGGGGGAGGGAAGCCCAGGAGAGGTTTAGAGTGGGGGCGGGGTGAGACGTGTGGGAGGGGCCACCGGTACTGAGTGAGACAGGAAAGCATGCACAGGAGGAAGGTCTGGGGACCTGCAAAGGCCAGTGTTGGTGTTGGCAGAAAGCGAGTGGAGTAGGGATTCTGCAGTGACTTGATCAGCTGTGATGGTGCCAATTTATAAGGAGAGAGCTAATAAACTAAAAGCTTGCGTGTTTCAAAAAAAAAAAAAGAGAGAGAGAGAGACAAAAGAATGGAAAAATCTCTAGAATAGTCTTTGAGCATTAACACAGCATAAATTTAAAGCATACTATTAATGTAATAATCACCCCATCCAACATTACTCAAGACATTAAAAAAATTACAGGTTTTTTTTCCTTGCCTGGTGTGTTCGCTGTTGTTTTGTTTTGCTGTTAGTTTTGTGTTAACAGAGTACAATTCTGTTAAAATAACTTTATTCCACCATTCAGAAGACAAACTAAAGTGGAGACTCAGAAAATAATAAGAAAGCATAGTGGCCAGATGTGATGGTACCTAGAGTCCCTGAACTTGAGAGTTCAAGACCTGCCCAGCCACATGGTGATTTCTAGGCCAGCCTGAGCTATACAAAGAGACTCTGCCTCTCAAAACTTAAACCTAAACAAAAAGCATATTATTATTTGGTTTTCATATCTTGCTTTCTTAAAATGTCTTTCTGAAGGCCAGGCATCAGTGGCACCCACCTATAATCCCAGCACTCAGGAGGCAGAGCCAGGCGGAGCTCTGTGAGTTCGAGGCCAGCCTGGTCTACAGGACAAGCTCCAGGAAAGGCACCAAAACTACACAGAGAAACCCTGTCTCAAGGGGAAAAAAATCTTCATGACGTTTAACCAGGGGTCTTCGGTGTATCCAGTCCCAAAGGGAGACAACTCAGAGGGTGAAATGCTTTCCAGGTAAACATTAGGACTTCAGATTGATACCCAGAACCCATGTTTTTAAAAATATGAGCATGGTGGTGCACACTTATAATCACAGTCTTCCTGGGCTGAAGGAAGGGAGGCAGAGACAAGAGGAGCCCTGGGCTTGCTGATTTAGCCTAGCTGAATCATCGAATTCCAGGTCAGTTGAGAAACTCTTGTCGCCCTGAGGAACAGGATTCATGGTTGATCTCTGACCTAGACACACACACACACACACACACACACACACACACACACACACACACACACACACACACATTCCCATCCTCTCACAAAAGGGAAAACAGGAATTCTAATAAACCTTTTTGTTTGTTGCGGTATTACAATAACAACAACACAGTAATTCCGTTCCTGGGGCCATTTACTCAAAAGCAGTACATTTTGAACTACTAAGGCTGCTTAAGCACCATTAAGAGCACTGGGATGATGGATTCCAAAGAGCTGCTGGCCAAAACACACAAAGAATTCTTGCAAACCAGGAAGAAAAATGGGCAAAAGACTTGAACAGATACTTCACAACAGAGGACTTCTAACTACCCAGAGAACAATCGGAAGGTCACTTGACTTCATCATCAACCAATTAGATACAAACTAACCCCACAGTGCAGGAGTGCTTCTAGCCCACCAAAGGGGTTCAGATGAGAGAGCTAGAGAAGATGCTAAGTTTCGGCAAGAATCTGGAGCGATTACAATGTCCATGTGTCAGCAGGAGTTACCCATTGGTACAGCCTCTGACACCAGAAAACAGACTATGTGAATCAACTGAACAGAGATGATAGGATATAAAGAATTAACGAGGGCCCCCTTTTCTGGGTTTTAATAATTCCAGTAGATTTCCTTGTTTGCTCGGACTTAGGAGTCATGACTGTCTCTAGTACTTATGCCAGCATCCATTCGTTTTCGTTCTAGCTCTTCAATGACAAGCTATTTATAGGTAGGCAGGGGCGTGGCTCAGCTTGTGGAGTACTTAAACCTAGTATGTTGGAGGCCTTGGGTAAGATTTCCGGTGCTGCATAAACTGACTGGGAGTGGGCCAGGCTCGTGTTACTGGGAGAGGACTGTGCAGGTAAGGATTTTGAGATTAAAATTATACAACTGTTCAAAATGTTTTTATTCATTTTTTAAAAATTTCATATAATATATTTTGATCATATTCTTTCCCCTCTCCCAACCCCTCCCAGATCCTCTCCCACCTCCCTACCCACCCGACTTCATATTCTTTCTCTTAAAAAACAAACACATACACACGAGAGAGAGAGAGACAGAGACAGAGAGAGACAGATACAGAGACAGAGAGACAGAGACACACAGAGAGAAAACCCAAAACATGGAATCTGATTTGGGTACACCAAGTACTCCTGAGCATGGGACCTGTACAACTTCACACATTGGTTTTTAAAAACAGATATGAATAATAAGGACCTTGTAAACAGTATGCCTGTCATTTGATTGAATCTCCTCCTCCTCCTCACCACCACCACCACCACCACCACCACCACCACCACCAGCAGCCCCCTCTGCCCTGGATGTTTTGTCCAGAAACAAGGATTAACTTAGTAAGAAAACTAGACTGGATGGACACGGATACTGCACTCCGTGCTTTTATCCAGCTTGGCTCGTTCACCCTCACCAGCGTTAGAATGCAAGTATTCCTCTTTCTATATGGAGAAACTGAGGTAACTAAGTATCCAAACTCAAGGTCCCTAGCTGCCACATAGGCAACACAGGCTGCCTTTCTGGAAGCCATGCTCTCAGAAGACAGTCCAATATAATTCTCTTCACACTACAGTGTAGCCTCTTTTCGGCGCCTGGGAATGAACCCGGTACTTTACATGCTAAGCACATGCTAAGCACATGATCTCCCACTGAGCCACACCCACAGTCCTAGCAATGCCCGTTTGCTCCCCAGGACATGCAGTTTACAGTGGAGGGAAAACTCAGCATAGAAGGTCTGAGCTGAAAAAGACTTCAAAGTTTCTCTCATTCGGGCTCTCTGGCCACAGAGAACTCGTTGAGACCCGAGCACACAACTGCCTTTCTGTGGGCCACGAGGCTGCTCAATGGAAAGGCAGGACTGAAAGACAAGGTTCCTGTCTCTTTCCCTACACCACAAAATCTGCCCCTCCCACACCCTAGCCCTTCAGATGAGCACTGGTATAGGGTCCAAAGTTCTTGTTGACTCCAAATGTTGCGGCCACGGTGGCACTGGAAGGATGGGTCACTCGGGCAATAAAGGCTTATGGCTTCCACTTCCTGATCTGTATTCAGGGCCGCTTCCAACTGCACACAGGCAGATGCTATGTGCTGGGCTGGAAAGGCCCTTGCATTTTCAACCCACTTCTCTGCATTAGCTCTGTCTTGACACCAAAAGTTTGCTGACATAGTTTGCTCCTTTGGTCTGGAACACGGGAAGTCCCTGTTAAAATAGCAATGGACTGACTGTCTAACTAAATAAAAGCTTGCCAATACCGTTGCTGGACTTTATTTATGGAATCAGCACTTTTCTGCTGGGAAAGTCCCTAAGGAGTGCCTTTATTGAGACTGTCGTGGTAGGATCAGATGGAGTGGGAGGAAGGGTAGGGTGGGTAGAGTGAGGAGGGGCCATTGCTGTACGAAGTCATGGAATACCCCGGGAAGGCAGAAAGAATAGAAAGGGAGAAAGAGTGGGAGAGAAACAGGGCAATAAGGGAGCACCTCTGTGCACCTCTTGCAGAATGGAACACAGATTTCTTCTTCTTCTTCTTCTTCTTCTTCTTCTTCTTCTTCTTCTTCTTCTTCTTCTTCTTCTTCTTCCTTCTTCTTCTCCTTCTTCTTCTTCTTCTTCTTCTTCTTCTTCTTCTTCTTCTTCTTCTTCTTCTTCTTCTTCTTCTTCTTCTTCTTCTTCTTCTCCTTCTCTTCTTCCTCCTCCTCCTCCTCCTTCTTCTTCTGTCCCCTTCTGAGCCAAAGGACCATCATGATGGACTGCCCTGCTTGCCAAGCTTACTCTTGCTACTGTTTTTGTTGTTATTGCTGTTGTTTGGTTGTTTGTTTTGTTTTTCATTTTGAGAGAGTCTTGCTATGTAGCTCTGACTGGCCTCAAACTAACAGAAATCTGTCTGCCTCTGCCTCCTAAGTGCTGGGGTAAAAGGCGTGACCCAGAGCTGGAGAGTTGGCTCCGTGGTTAAGCAACATTTGTTGCTCATTTAGTGGACCCAGGCTCAACTCCCAGCACCCACATGGTGGCTCACAACTATCTGTAACTCCAGTTCCAGGGGTTCTGGTACTGTCTTCTGACCTTCGTGGGCACCAGGCACACAGGCAAACAAAATATTCACACACATAAAATAATAAACTTTTAAAAATAAAATAAAGGCATGTGCCACCAATGCCTGCCCAGGGTCACTCTTCTTTTCCCGAGACCGTCAAAGGGGAAGAGAAGAGAAGAAATACTCAGTGCCTGGCTGTAGCCCGCAGCTCACTGAGACCCACTCTGTACATTCTGGAATCACAGGAATCTCAGTGCATAAGACATCACCATCCCAACTGTACAAGTGAGAAAACTACGGGTCATGGGAGCTGAAATCCTTTCCCTGGTTCATATGCCTAAGAACTCACTCTGAGAGACTAAGAACTAAATCCAGACTGCATCAAAAGAGGTCTTCTGTCCATACTGGCTCACCCTACCACACCCCCTTCAGAGAAAAGTGCTTCCCAGAGTCTGTGAGTTCTCTCTGTCTCTCCTTCTTCCTCCCTCCCCCCTTTCTTTATAGTTCCATATTCTTTTTTTTTTTTTTTTTTTTTTTTTTTTGGTTTTTCGAGACAGGGTTTCTCTGTGTAGCTTTGCGCCTTTCCTGGAACTCGCTTTGGAGACCAGGCTGGCCTCGAACTCACAGAGATCCGCCTGGCTCTGCCTCCCGAGTGCTGGGATTAAAGGTGTGCGCCACCACCGCCCGGCGTTTAGTTCCATATTCTTATTTATGGCAACCCCTGTGCTTTACTATGAGACATTGACCTTCACCGATCTAATTTATCAGATGTAAGGTTGGTGTTTCACTTCTAAGTGGGCCATCTGGCAGGCAGCATATGGAAACAGACCCTTGGACAAGGTCGTGAGAATGTTAAATCTGTAATTTAAAGAAGTTTTCTAAGCCAAGGAAGGGCGTGTGGCACAGTACTTACTCAGCATGTGTAAGGCCCTGGG